CAATCTTTTATAACTTACTAATACTGCATTTTTTACTTTTAGTTTTAAGTACATCCATGTTGGTGTTAATCTTATCCATCTGTATTAATATAAAATTAAATACTGTTAATTAGTAGTCACAACAATTGGGAGCTGCATTTTTATATGGAGCTACAACCGCTTGTCCGTTTGAGCTATTTGTCCAATTTTCTCTCTATCTTTTGCATTGTCTCGCCAGTTATTCACACCAAATGTACACGGGCGTTTCTTTTTTGAAGTGAAACTTCTTTAGCGACGGTTGGTTGGTTGGGATGAAATTGGCAAATTCAACGGAAATTGCACGCGGAAATGGTGCAACGGAAATGATGCCACGGAAATGGTTGGGGCTGAAACAAGTGCTTCTTGTGTGTATGCGTATGGTATTAATTTAACAAAAATTTGCTTATAAAAATAATCGATATTTTTATCGGTTTTGTTATCGATATTTTTATCGATATTGTTATCAATTTTGCTATCGATATTTGCGGAACTTATCGATATAATAACCGATATTTTTATCGATTTGTTATCGATTTTGTAATTAATATTTTTAACTATTTTGTTAGCGATATTTTTATCGATTTTGTTATCGATATTTTTATCGATTTTGTTATCGATAATTATCAATTTTGTTATCGATATTTTTGACTGATTTTGTTATCGATATTTATCGATTTTGTTAGCGATATTTATCGATTTTTTTATCGAATTTATTATCGATATATATCGATTTTGTTATCGATATTTACCGATTTTGGTATGGATATTTATCGATTCTGTTATCGATATTTATCGATTTTGCTATGGTTACTTTATCGAGTTTGCTATCGATATTTTTATCGATTTTGTTATGGATATTTTTATCGATTTTCTTATGGATATTTTTATCGAGTTTCTAATAAATTTTTCTACCAAAATTATTATCGATTTTGCTATCGCTAGCCTACGCAGAAACCAGAATCAAGTCAAAAGTATACTTATATGCATATCTATTGGGGGGGGCGCCGTCAAAGCAACAAAGGGTAATAAATAGCAGATGAGATTGCCAAGAGCGGAACCAGTCTCACTATGGAGCAGACAAACTACTACATTCATAGACCACTCCAACATTTGTGTAACGAAATAGACGAAAGTTTGATTAGGCAGTTCGAGGATAAATGTAACTGCAAAAATTCTTCATGTTACGGAAGAATTGCAGAGTTGCTATCATGGTGGTTGCTCATGGATATTACTAACGTGGATAGATGCAGGAAGTATCGTGAGCGGGATATTAAGATAAATTGGAAAAAATTTCAAGCTGCTTTTAATTTTTTAAATTTACCTCTAACGAAATTAATGCAACAAAATATTCATTGAAGTTTACGTTAGTCAGCGTTTATACTCCTTACGTTGCACAAGCTTGTTTCAACCGTTTTTTTTTCAATTAAGAATTTTTGTGAAAAAATTAACAATATTTTAAAGTTTATAGACCAAATAATTTGAAAAAAATCAAATCAGCTGCTCTACTGCTACTACCTGTTTTATATGACTTGATTCAAATACTAACTGCCAGTTTCACGAAAGCAATTTAATATGGAAACTGGCAGAAAAATATAATCTTTCACTTAAATTGCCTTCGTGAAACCGACAGTAAAAATTTATACAATAAGGGTCTTCACACCGAGCTTGGTACTCGGTAGCTAGGTGTTCGGTCATTCATTCTCTTGTATTTTGTTTGTGTAAAATAATTTTATTATATGTAGTTACCGAATTATCGTGGTGACAAGCTTGATAATTTTTCTGGTAGTTGGTAAACTGATCAGCTGTTCGATATGTATTAAATTGTAAATCCGCTCGCTGCCGAAAGGCATAACGCATACGAGTAAGTAAAATACATTAAATTTTCTGTTACCATTTTTTTTAGTAAAAATGCTACGAACCAGCTGTCGATAAACTTTAGTTACCAAGCTAACAAAAGGAAGCTGAAAACAAGTAAGAAAGTCTAAGTTCGGGCGGAGCCGAACATTAAATACCCGGCGCAAGTATTAAATATATGTTTTCCACCTTTCCGAAAGCTACCGCTACATGATAAGCCGGCGTGTATAAATTTTAAGTAAACTAGCGTCCTTAAATTTCAAAATATTGAAATTTCAAGCATTTCTGAAATTTACCGTTATATGAAAAGCGGCCGTCATTTTAGTCCGATTTCAACAATTTTGAACGTTTTGCTTTTATGTGGCAAGCACAATAACCATACCGAGTTTGGTACAAATTGCTAGAACGGTTAGCGAGATTCATATACGTGATCATAAGTGGGCGGTGCCACGCCCATTTTCCAAAATTTTATCATAAACGTATTTCCTGGCAAAGAATTGTTGCAACCATCATTTTGAATAAATTAGTTTTAATATTTACTGATTTATCGAGGATTTCGTATTTCTCGAAATTACCGTTATATGGGATGTGGGCGTAGTTATTGTCCGATTTTAAAAATTTGGTATGCTGTACCAGGGCCAACAACTGTGCCAAGTTTGGAATAAATTGATGCAGCGGTTACCAAGATATACACATGTAACCATAAGTGTGCGTGGCTACGCCCATTTTCAAAAAAATGTTAATATTCTTATTTTTCGTCTAAAATTTATTATAAATATCAATTTTGAGTGAATTATCTTCAGTAGTTACTAAAATATCGCAGTTTTTTGTATTTCTGAAAATTACCGTTATATGGGAGGTAGGCGTGGTTATTGTCCGATTTTGCCCATTTTCAATACCATCCGTCCTACGCCCGAAAGAAGTGCACGTACCAAGTTTCGTTAAGATATCTTAATTTTTACTCGAGTTATCGTGTGCACAGACGGACGGACAGACGGACGGACAGACAGTCACCGCTTAATCGATTTCTCTTTTCATTCTGATCATTTATGTATACATTTGTCTATATCTATCTCGATTCGTTTTGCCTGTTACAAACAACCGTTATGTGAACAAAGTTATAATACCCTTGTCCCCACAAGTGCGCTCGGGTATAAAAAACGTTCACAGTTGATAAAATTTACCAAAACTACAGAAGTGGGTGTGTCATTTATTAGTTTTTTTTTTGTTGTGGGCAAAAAATCATAACCAGCTTTTTTTGTGTCATATGACAAAAAAAAAACATATTTATAATAGCCTGAATTTTAAAATCGAAATGATAACCAACCTCTTGTTGCTATCTTCTCATTATGATGCATATAAAATAAATGTGCATACATATTTTTTAGTCAAACATTTAATCGTGTGAATGTACATATGTATGCAGATTGCAAACCAGTTCCTCTCCATATTCGTTGTTTTATTCATTTTATTTCGTTTTCATTTCCTTCAAGTCTTGCGTATATTAATTTAGAAGATTAATCAAACTTTAGTAATTATAATTTAGTCCAAGTTGAAATAATTCAAAAACCATACATATTTCCCTCTAAGGTTCTTCATCTTCTTCTTATCCGGCACTGTAAATGTCTAATACTAGGTTCACATATAAGTAGATTATTCACATTTTCAAGCTTAACACCCTAATCTGTAATTATAACAAGAGAATAGCCATATAAAATTCGTCCCTTGTTAATCTGTAATTATAAAATAATCTCAGATTTAGACGATAACTTTTCGGTGTCCATCCTAGTTTTATCGATTGTTTTTGCGAAAAAGAGGAGAAATGCCAAATGTAAAAATAAACAAAAATGTACGCTAGCAAGTAAAAGAGGTTTGTAAAGGTATTTTTAATTAAATGTTAAGTTAAAATATATTTATATTGCTCATTATTGCAGAAAAACGTGATCACGGTGGCACAGAGAAGAAACATAACTTTTCCTTGAGATGTGAGAACAACAAGCACAACAAATTTGACGGCTAATAATCTGAGATTTGCCTGTGTAAACGGGGTGATTAAAAAACAAGCTTTGATTGAGATAATATTGATATGTGAACATAGTTTAAGCAATTTCGATCGAGTCAAATAAAACACCCAGTCGTTTCGCTTTTGTAACAGCTGAGACCAATCGAAAATGCCAAGTGAAGCCACCCAGTCCTGATAATCGTCCGATAAATATGATTTTCTCAGTATTTAAGACACTTGGACCTTTCTACTTCTGGGCTCGAATCGTAACATCGATACGAAAGAGAATTACGTGATACGTCAGACTGTATAAGCTTAATGAGACAAAGAGTACGTTCACGTATGTCATAATCCGAAAAATGTGTTTTTACGTGACGAGTAGCACGATATCGTATGTGACGATTCGAGCCCCGGAAATCGGTTTCATCCAAAGTAAATCGACTCCCGACCCGTGAATGCCTTTTAGGCACACAACCCCCGGTGTAGACGGGACAGAGCTTTGTCTGACTCGGGAGACTCGCTCGCTTCCCAATAGCCCAACTTGGCTCTAGGTATTGCAGCAAAGTGAACGCCGATGTGCCCAACGACGGAAAGACGCCACATGACTCACTCATGGACTGACCCCAAGCAAAGTGCGCACTTTCTGGGTCTGCCCTTAGCGGAGCCCGACGACAATGCTTGTTGGACGAGCCGATTTATGTGGGGTTGAGCAGCCGCTACCATAACAACGACAACCTCTGACGACCCAGGTTGCAGCTAAATCTCTCCCCTATTCGACTATGAAGAAATCTTCCGATTTAATCTCGGCATGCTAGTCTTTTCACACCGACTGAAACCGGTTTTTCATGAGCGCGAAGAGGAAGAGAGTAGCAGCAATTTCAGACGCTATATACCATACATGTACACATGTACTTCACCGAGTTTAGATAGTACGAAAAGACTAATGTGTGCAGGTCCATTCGGTTCAAACATCGAAATGCAATAAGTGAAGCATATTGGCCAAATTACCTAATGCATTTGTGTCATGTGCCTCAGGAAGGGTTAACGACCAAATGTACATTAGAAACAGCTGGCAACTTCTCACAACTTTGTGATTTTGCAAAACTGACACCTCTGGCAACATTCTTAAAAAATTAGCTATTTCGCTCAGGAGCAGTTTTGTTTTTCTTTTACGAATCTATTAATTTTTCTAGAAACCATTGGAAAAATATTTTCAATTTGCTACAACTAATCTCGGCCGCCAACCTAAAAATCGTTAACAATGTCTTTAGTCTGTGCAAGTAAGTGTAATTGGGAAAAGCCAATGCCAGAGCATTTTTAGGTTATGGTTCGCGGCGTTGTCTCTGCCGCTTTCGGCTAGCACATAATTTTTTTAGTGTTTTCGGGTTTAAAATTACAACTTATTGATTTTTACTAATTTTACAGTTACAAATGAAGTGCCAGACACACCCGTTATCTCGCCAATCTCTGGTGCAATATTCGAGAAACGCATCATTGAAAAGTATATACTCGAGAATGGCTGCGACCCAATCACCGGCAAAGAGCTGAAAGTTGAAGAGTTGATTGAGATAAAAACGCCGCCAATAGTGAAACCAAAACCGCCAAGTGCCACAAGTATCCCAGCCACTTTGAAGACGATGCAGGATGAATGGGACGCATTAATGCTGCACTCATTCACACAACGACAACAACTACAAACAGCGCGTCAGGAATTATCGCACGCATTGTATCAACACGATGCAGCCTGTCGTGTAATTTCACGTTTAAATAAAGAAGTCGCAGCAGCACGTGAAGCCTTGGCTACACTCAAACCGCAGGCCGGTATTGGAGCCTCAACTGCACCAACGTCAATACCCCAACCAGCTATTGCAGCTGAGGCGGCTGGCAATGCCACGCAACCGATTGAGCAAGCTGGCATGAGTGCCGAAGTTATACAAAAACTACAAGACAAAGCTACTGTATTGACGCAGGAACGCAAGAAGCGTGGCCGCACAGTGCCAGAGGAATTATGTACACAGGAGCAGATTAAAACGTTTATGACTGTGGCTTCTCATCCCGGCTTGCATTCAGCATCCATACCGGGTATTTTAGCATTGGATATTAATAGTGCCGATCATAGTAAGATTTTGACTGGTGGAAATGATAAAAATGCGACAGTATTCAATAAGGATACAGAACAAGTTGTAGCTATACTTAAGGGGCACACAAAGAAGATTACCAAAGTCATCTATCATCCCGATGAAGATACCGTAATTACCGGTTCGCCCGATATGTCAATACGCATATGGCATGTGCCAACATCGCAGACACAGTTGCTATTGCGTTGTCATGATGGGCCGGTTACAGGCTTGTCACTCCATCCCACTGGCGATTACATACTGTCCACATCATCAGACAAACATTGGGCTTTCTCAGACATACGTACTGGACGTTTATTGACAAAGGTTTGATTTCATATTTAATGCCACATAAATGGTTAATACTTATTTGAAATGCGTACATACTCTTTACATTTTTTATCTTTAGGTAATTGATACCGCAGAGGTAGGTTTAACGACAGCACAGTTCCATCCTGATGGTTTGATTTTTGGCACTGGAACTGACGACTCACAAGTTAAGATTTGGGATTTGAAGGAACAAAGTAATGTTGCAAATTTCCCAGGACATACAGGACCGATATCAGCTATAAGTTTTTCGGAAAACGGTTACTATTTGGCCACTGCGGCGGATGATGCCTGCGTTAAGCTATGGGATTTACGTAAATTGAAGAACTTCAAGACAATACAGTTGGAGGATGGATATGAAGTTAAGGATCTATGCTTTGACCAAAGTGGTACCTACTTAGCCATTGCAGGCACAGATGTGAGGTAAGCGACTATACTCTTTGTAGAAATCAGCTACAATCTCTTAAAAACATTTTTTGAGTATGTATATGTATTTTGAGATGTGTATTCTTTCAATTTTAATTTTCGTATTTTATTTTGCGGCGTACACAAATAGCTGTATCCCTCTGCCGCTGCAATTCATGTTTCTTAAAATGCGCCATCCAGTTTTGTAACCGAGTTTGCTCCACCAAGGCGCGGCGTGACTTTTCCTTTGCCATGTTTACACGTCGCCTTACACGTTTCTCGGCTTCCTTGCAGAGGTCAGGGGGCATGCCATCCAAGTCATTTAGTAACGACTGCAATTACCATTTATAAAGTAATAACTAAAAAACCATAAGTATATATACGCACCAGCAGCTGTGCCTGGATTTCCTCAATTTTTGCCAACGTTATATCTGGCTCATCTCTATATGAACTCAAAGCCGATTCAGTACGTGATTTAATAGATCGTATGCTTTGTTCGTCATCTTTCTTTGCTTGGTCGGCGACGGAATTATTTTCTTTAAATTCAGAGCGCTGCAAGCTCCTTAGTATTATAGGTATTATGGCGTTCAACTTTAAAGATAATGTACTAAGGAAAAAAAGTGTTTTTATATTACATAAGGATGTGGGAATAATTCCAGCTTACTCCTGTTTCTGTTTGCACTCATATTTTGCTAAAGTCTTTTCAGCACGCATTTTCAAAGCTGCAACGCGTTCTTTCATAAAATTAGGATCCTTCAGTGGTGGTGGAATTTTACAACGTGCCTGTGTCTTTTGCTATAAAATGTACGCAAATAGTTTACTGTTCGCTAAATTTCATTGAATAGTTATTTCTACTTACAAACTTTTCATATACCAATGCTGCAATATGATTTAATAGCGCCAAATTTGTGTAGCGTTTATAATAATTAGAAAGTTTACTCCTGGTTAAGTCAAAGCCCTGAAAGTTGTATACTCATTAATTAACATGTCACAAATTTATTCAAACTCCGCTGACTTTCAGCCACACATCCGCGTTCAAGTGATTACGCTTAGCCAAGTACGGACGCACAACAGCCGTCATATATTTTTTAACCACCTCGATTTGTTTCATGCCTGCATCACTTTCGTTCTGTGGTTTAAGTTCTGCAATCTCTTTTGGTAAAACTAGTCTGCTACCCTCACTTCCTGTGACTTCATCGTCGATTTCATCGAAGTAACCCTAAAAGCATACAAATAATAAATTTGCTACCCACGCTAAATATATCTCTTATTGTACAATTAATTTAAGCAAATACAAGAAGCGCTGATACACTTCATGCGCCTCGACCAAGGCGCGCCTGTGATCTTCGATTGTCGCTTTGAGCTCGTCGGCTAAAGTGCATTTTTGCATTTCTTGCCACTTAGCGATTGATGCTGTCATTTCAGTGAATGCGTTTGCTTCAACTGTTAGTAGTGATTTCTCTGTGAACTAAAATTCGACGCATACATTTTTTGTTGATATATATTTTCATATTTTTTTCTACATTTATAATTACCTCATAAAAGTCGAGCAATTCTTGATATTCTTCCTCCTGGCGCTTCTTTTCCCATTCTTTATCAAAATACATTTGCTGTGTGGAGTAGATCATAAACTTCTTGCGTGTTATTTCGCGCAAAAGTAATATATCGCTGTTTGTAGTTCAAACAAAAAAGACATTTAAATTGGGTTTCTAATGCTGAATTTCCACTAGGCATTGAGATGACAAAAAAATTAATGCCTGGTGGAAATCCTGCATAAGTTTTAGAGTCTATACTTACCTTTTCATTCGAAATTTTCTTGCCAAACGCTGGGTGCGTGCATCCTTCACATAATTTGGATCGATAGTGGTTACCAAACATGGCGCGCGCGGATTCACCACACCACCTCTCTTAAAACGGAAGAATACAAGAAAGAGCGAAATTATATACATATTATAATATTCGTTTGGAGAAGTATAAACTGAAGGCTTAAATACAATAGGCAATTATTCCTATTTGGTAATGGTCTCGACGTACAGTAGTACTTAACGATACCGACGGCAAATATTTTCCTGCGTTCCTTAAAATCCTAGTTTCTACATTCTTATAAAATTTTACATATGTATGTATGTAATTGCTTGCTACAAAACTTACCGCGTCAAAATCGTTTATTGTCAAATTAATTCGTGGAAACGTGTCTGGGTCACGTAGATCATCGACGCTATAAAAATCTTTGTAAATAGATCAAATTAATTTCAACTAATTTAAGTTAAAACAAAAGGATTTTAATATGTCATTTAACTTTTTCAAATATTTTACCTTCATATTTTCGAAATATTTTTTTCTTTGATTTTTTCATGTTAAGGCAGTTTGATAAAGTATATGCAGAAGAAGCCCTTAGACCAATAAATTATAGTTCTGTTCGTTGTCAAGTTATCTGTTAAACCAAAATGTGTAAATAATCACTCGTTTCTAAGGAAATATTACAGAAACAAAAAGAAAACAGTGCAAGTACGATACGGATTTTTTTATCGATTCGAGGAAGAGTATTGCCAGAAAGTTCCTTTTTCCAAGAACAATAACCTAGACATCCCCAAATATAAATATTCATAATACACTCAACATTTGTTAACTAATTTTGTAAAATATTATTTGCTAAGTAATTAAGCTAAAATCCTTTCCATTTCGCTTCCTTTTTCTGTTACAGAATCCACCTATGCAAGCAATGGCAGGACTTGAAGGTGTTCAATGACCACACGGCACTAGCCACGGGTGTACGCTTCGGGAAACATGCACAATATTTGGCCTCGACAAGCATGGATCGTACTCTAAAACTCTATGCCATTGAATAAAAACAATTTACATAAATAAATTACGCCTCTGATGCATCGCTTTCAAACACAAAAATCCGTTTGCCTAAGGATTAAAGATACTATCAATTTCAATTAATTCAGTCTTTGAAGTACACACACATACGTCTTACAGACTAGATAACACAGAGCAATAGATGCATTCATAATTCATTTGTAGGGTAAGGAGTAAATATTTAAAATCTTGTATACATTAAACTAATAATAAACAGAATAAAATGCGGAGTGAAAAAGAAATATTGACGAGGAAAAATCAATATCTAGTATCTTTGAGACAACATTAAACTCCCTTAGAGACCAAAAGATTGTGGCGAAAGAAAAATAGTTCGCTTTTACAACATTAACCTAAAACGGAGAACGGAAGTGCAGGGATCTGTGCGGAGCATAGAAACCTATCTGTTCAAGAAAACCAGGCAGTCAATACTATCAGAGATCAGATAAAAAAAAAACAGAAACTGGTCAATTATTCTATTTTCTAGCGAGTCCAGACTAATACGCCTGCAATGCGCACTATAAGCTGGAAGGGGTTTAGAAAAGTAAGGAGGTTGAAGAGAAATTCTTTCAATTGTACTGGTATGATAGCTATAAATAGGCTTTCAACTAATCGAGACATATGTATACTACTACACTATCTCTACCCAGCCACTTAAAATTTCAGATCAACACCGAAGACATATGGTAATGCAGAAGATATTAGTTTAGTTTATATTTACTGTATTTATCGTTTATAAGTTTAAAGCTCTTACAAAAAAAAATGTAGTTTACTTGTAATATGCCAATTCCATTACATCTTAATACAACTATCAACTTATGTGCATACATATAAATGTTTATCAAGTGTTTTCTTTATATTATTCTTTAAGACTTAAAATATTTTTTTTTTTTAGTTTTATAATTTTGGCTTGATCAAGTCGCTAAATAACTATGTATGTATATATATAGTGCATATCTTATGAAGCTGCAATTTGCTTGAGGGGTCCTTCGAGATAATTAGCCAGTGCCATCGCCTTTTCCTTGAGTAAACCCAAGCCCACCATTTCTTTTGCGTACAGACAAAGCAATATGCTGGCGACCTGAAAGTATAGGTACAAATGCTTTAGCTCGCTATAATAAATAACTAGGGAGATGATTATATGCCAGGTAATTAGTCGAGTACAGTTTTTTTGTGGGAGTCGGTATTATATTTCTTTGGCGATTGACTGCCGCTCACCTGTGTAATAGCTACATGACCACATTCACAATCCAATAGCACAAAAGTTAGACGATCTTCACGAAATGCATTGCGTCCATGTTTTTCGTATGCTGCCCAAATACTGCTCGCAATTGCCGCTGTAACACGCGCGTCCTTATCTCCATACCCAGCATATGCTAGCAAAGCACCTTCCTGACTTAGCAAACTATAAAATGCGCGTTTTCAGTACAGTGATATTAAAATGAACAAATATTATGTCTTTACAAAACAAAGGGGAGGTGCACTTTTCCATTCCCAAATTGGCTATCGAATAAGAATAGATTCTTTTACTTACAGCGTATTCTCAACACCACCTGTATTTGCTTGCGCTAAAACTTGTGTTAGTGCTTTTGGTTTTAACATTTTTGAGGAAATTTATTAGCAATTAATGCGGATTATAACATGAATAAAAAACACACAAGTAAAAACAAATCACCCGATAGGAGCAATACAATCCACCGTGAATAAAATACAGGGTTGCATATGGGTATTTTTCCAATAAGAAATAATAGTGCTGCCAGATACATATAAAAATAGAATCTCCAGAAAAAAGGGCTAGAGAGAGTGGAATAAATGAGTGTCTGCGGCGCTTTAAAAAATCAAAACTTCGATAAATAATGAAAATGTTTAATAAAAAATAGCGTGATTTTATGTAAATCAATTTTTTTTTATTAAAATCAATACTTCAATAAAATAAGAAAATTTTTAACAAAAAAACCGCGCGATTTTTTATTAAAAATTTTCCCCTTCCGGCGGTTTTTCATGAAAATCGATACTTGTTTGCAGATTGGTGGAACTATCCGTGTGTATATTCCGATATCCTTTGAGATATTAGTGTATACTGATAAAATCCGTTAATGTTGATATCAGGCTAATATCCGTTAATTTTGCTATCCGGATATCTGGTAAATATCCGTTCATTTTGTTATTCGGATATCCATATTTTCGGATTTTTAATCAGATAATCGCCGTCTTTTTTTATGTACACACATATATATATATATATATATATATATATATATATATTCAGACAATCAGGGTATTAGTAAATTGGGATGCTGTTAAATGTTAATAAATTTAGCTCGATTTTTCGATTTTTGCACTAAATGGATGTCTCGTATCTTTTATATCTCACTGTGTAGATGTATGTACTTTATATTCGAATGCACTTTGCGATGGCTTTCCGTTTGTTATTAGTCGCGTTTGTATACTCATTTCCAGTAAAATCCATTGAAAGTTTTTACGAATTTTAATTTTTACGACAATGTCATCTCCCGCGTTGCAAATGCATTCATGCATACATATAAATGCATATATACATACATACGAAACTTTGTGGCAGACAAAAACATAAACGATTTAAAAAATTTGTTAATACGTAGTTTTTTTTATTTATTATAGCATTTACTTATTTACATTAAAAATTTAACGTTAAATAAATTTTAATGTACGGTACAATTCGAACCCTCTAGCTATGTATTAGCAATGGCATTTAGTTATTATGAGCACAAACACGGGTACATGTTGTACCTTAATATAGAAAGGCCCTAACTCATATTGTCGCTGAAATACAAAAAGCCGTAACTAAGTAAAAATCAAAAATTCCCTTTTTGATTGTTTATGATGCATTTCATCGAATTAGGAGTAGCCACATCATTTTAAGCAACACAAAATTTTTTGTCAATTGCGGCTTTTTTGCGTTTCAGCGACTATAAAGAGTTAGGACTTTTCTTTGGAGGTGTTTATTGGTTTAAAATTGCAATGGCGCTATGTACCTTTTTATGGAAAATCGTTTTGAAAAGTTAATTATTATGTACATATTCTATCATGTTAGCAAACATTTATTGCTCCAAATTCTTTGGCTGAGGCAAATGAAAGCAATTAGGTCAGCGTCAATGTGCCTCTCGATTCGAGTATACATAAATTAGTTAAATTGAATTAATATTGAGTTTGAAAGAAGTAATTTGTATATTTGTAGGTAATCCTGTTATCCATTTGACATTTGAGTATCAATAATATATGAAAATACAATATTTTTTTTTGTTCTAGAAATATAACTGGGTTGAATGATACATGATAATTAATGATAATTATCAGCATTAGAGCTTTATTCAAATGCTTAAATAGAAGTTACTAGCGATTAAATTACAAAATGTGCATATGTACATACGAATGTACATATAGCATAAATATGTATGTACATATACATATTTATTCATAATTGCCGCTGTGGTTAAAGAGATTAACACGAAATTTTAAGGCATTAGAGGTTAATATCCATACGTAGTACTCTATTTTCATTAAAAAAAATCACTCTAATGAAAAAACCGCACTTTTGTGTTTTCCTTTTCTTGTATGATTGGGCTTTAACTACAGCTGCACATATTCATTGAGTTGATTTTCATTGTCTCATCAACGAGCGTAAAAAAATAATTACTCTTATTAATTAGCGTTTCCATTTCTACTCATTTTTTTTTTTTTGATGTTTAGTTTCATTATGCTAATTCAATTGTTTGCACTTCGTTCGTATTCAAGTTTCTTACGCCTTTTTAAACACTAAATCGTCAATGGCCAGTAAACAATAAATTGTTTATACGTCTCTAGTGAAACAAACAAACAATCACTCCTTATTAAACATAACAATATAGTTATTATTATAGCGTAATAATATTTAATTTTTAGCAATGTTGTTAGGTTTTGTACCACGACCCTGTCAAGCTGAAGCGGTGTATCAGCTGCAATCGATAGTAGTACGTTAATAAGGAAATGGATTAGCAACAAGAGTTTATGGTAGCGCAGTGGTTAGCGTCGCCGATTTTGCACATCACAGATGCTGGTTGGATTCCTGCTGAAGTTTAGAAAAGAAGTCTGATGAGACGTGCAGCTATAAATTCTACCGCTAAGACCCTGTTACTCTTTCCATTTTTCCTAATAAACAAATAGTGGTACAACACCCAATAACATTGCTAAGAAAAACAATATAGCATTACTCCCTTCAATTATTGCGTAATCATTTAGTTTTCGAGGAATGCCATAACCTCTGTGCAAAGCGTAGCGGTATGCCCATCTTAAGTAACTGTGAGTGGCCATTGAATTTTAGATTTGGCCTGTAGTGTAAAACTGCCTCCCAGCAAATTTCGCTCAATTTCGGTACGGTCATCCACATTTTATAGAGGTCATTGCACCGCCGTATACGCTTTTCATCATATTCAATGCCACCGAAAATGTACATACAACCATTTTGATTGTGCGCTGCGGCGTGGAAGTACAATGCTTTTGGCAAAGATGCGGTCCTAATTAGTGTCCATTGCTTAGTAGAAAAGTTAAGTTTCCATATGTCAGAAAAATATACGTGATCTCTCTGCAAGTGAAAAAGGGACATTTTTATGTATGTATGTACATATCGTCGTTTAAAGTACAAAACCGCGTATCAAGATAAGGCCAAACCGCGTATGTGTGGTTGCATAAGTTATTTTCTAGAGTAAAAGCACTCATATTTCAAAATGGTTCTTTTTTTATAAAACAATCGCATTTCTGGCTAGTATATTTCAGGAAAAATGGATAAACATTAACCAAGAGCTTATGTGAGCAAATCCAATTTTTGGCAGCAAATATCAGTTACTTGGTTTTGCATGACGATACACGGGTTTGTACTTTAAACGACGATATGTATATATATATTTATGTAGTTATCAACTTTAATTTAATTTTCTACATGAGCACCCACCAGCATTCCGCCCGTAATAAATGCCTCGACCTCACCATTCGATTTGGTATGCTGTACGCATGAAAAGCACTTTCGTGGTTTTGGAAATCCAGAATTTTGCCGCGCGATTGCTGCATTTGTTAAAAACGTTCGATCGGGTAATGTATCGAAATATTCCCAACGATTGGTTTTTAAATTAAAAGCAGGGATACGTTGTAAATCGTACACTAAATGTGATGTACCACCACCCAGCACGTAAATGTATTCACCATCGTAGACAACTTCGTGACGATAACGTCCTTCTGGATCTTCACGTATGTCTGGGCGGCAAATATAAACGCACTCCCACACTCGTGTTCGCAAATTTAAACGATGTACATCACAGGAGTAATCATAGCCCGTTGTACCACCGATTGTATATAAATAATGTTCATGTAGCACGATGCCCGGTCCATATTGCGGAATGGGCGCATCCCCAGTAGCCTCGATGCGCATAACACTCGGCTTTTCACCTTGTGTTTGATATATATAGCAGTCGTTTGAGCAAGATTCACCGAATGGATAGCCAGTTCCACCGTATGACTTGAAGTATAATAAAAGCATTGTTGTTTTAATCCGTATATTGGTATTTCAATAAATTTTATCTATGCTTAATTCGTAAAATATTTTCAAGCAAATAATAATAAACTAAATCAAAAAGATAATTGCATTTAATAATAATAACATACTCAAAGTTGTACTTACAATCAATAAATTATTGCTAATAATAAGCGCGTTTGATGCCAACTCTCTTGGCATATTTCGATTCGTTGTAGGATTGTGCAGTAGCACCCAACGTTTAGTCGCAAAATTGTAGCGCCATAATTCCTGGAAGAGCATGCCTGTCCCGCGTGCTATCGTTCGACTATTTCTTGGATTGTAGCCACCCAATGTGTAAAGATGTGATTCCGAAGCGACAACGCGATGGCCGCTACGTGCAAATGGATAATCTCTTGGTGGACAAAATTTCTTATAGTTACATTTGAGCAAACGCTGTGGCTTAAAAGTATATAATGGTAAGTTAGGCACACTATATCTAGGATCAAGATTCCAATGGCTTCGAAAAGTTTTGTTGCCAACTTCGCTGTCACTTTCTGAATTTGTTGAATAATCGCCACCGTAGCCAGCCGCGTTATCGCTTTCGAAAGCGTCATCACTATCCATTTCGACTATATAATCCGAGTCGCTATCGCTCGACATATCCGATGCATTGTCATCTACTTCTTCGTCAACATCATCTTCATCCCCTGACTCGTCCTCATAGCCCAGACCCATTACTACCTGATCTTCTATATCCTCCTCCATGGGTTCAGCCTGAGCCTGCTCGATGGGATCACGTTGTTCGCCCCCTTCGCCGTCCATCGTATTAGAGAAAATCGTGGGCAAATGTATGCTTCGTAAAATAGAATTGAAATTACGTTCAAGGACCGCTATCAAATGCCAGGCGTGCAGCAAATTATTCAATAAATTCAATAAAGCTAGCGCGGCCAATCGTCTTATTCTCATTACAGTTCTTAATAGTTTTTGTTTTTCAGTTAATTTTTTTCACTTTAATTTTACATAAATTGATGATTAGAATTAATTAAAAAATTTACACTTGAACAATTCATAAAACCTAAAACATTGAATTTTCAACTGGATTTCACAGATTTATTCCCTCGCGTAGGGCAGGCGGTAAAGGTCGGAGCAATGTTGCTATACTTAAACTGTTTTTGTTGGCCGAAAAATACGATAAATCTATTTTAATGCACTTTAGCGGCAACTGAGAATCGAATTTCGGGTAATAAATCAGGGATATACACTTTTTACTTTATAAATTTCGAGGTAAACGTGCGCAATTTGCTACTCATAATTTCATTATGAGATTTATGCAAGAGTGCAACAACACTGCTGTCTCACCAATCAGCTGACAATTAGCGTCCACTGCGCCTCGTACAATCATTCGCAACAGCTGTCAACGGAACTGCGAATCAATTTTGCGTTGTGCACACTTCTCATCATTTTGATTACGCGGTTTACTGTTGCGTAGTAATTTTAGGGTTTGGTTAACACCGCAGAATGTTTACTGCAGTTTTGCACAATTTATATTTAAAACTTGTACATTAAACAATATTTTACCATCCCAAAAATTTAAATGCGTCTTAACACGTCACTTACTTTCCAAGGCAACACAGAAAATGGAAATGTTTGCGAGGAAAGTTAGCTGTGTTCCATGCAATTGGAGGAATTTATAGAATTGGATAGAAACGCAGTGTTGCCAACTTTCGCGTTTCAATAAGCACCAACCCTTGGGGAAAACGAGTTTTACCACATTAGATAATAGCACTAAATTTTTTTGAATCGAAGGATAATTTTTTTTATAACAGTTTCTGTTTAAAAAAAAGTAATATAATAAACAAGCACATGCTATGATGACTCATGCTTACAAAGTGATACCGAAGTACTGCACATTAAAACTGGTGTATCTCGAAAGAGAAAAATCTATGGCAACAAACGAAAAGAAATTTTAAAGAAGAGTAATACTAAATGATGCCCTACACGAAACGAGCAAAAAAATTTGTTGTTTTCATAATGTAACCTCAGATATCGCCAGAACCGTGTTTTTAGCGCTCTGAGGTCTGGATATCTCAAAATTCGGAGGTAGTAGAGCGATTCTGTAGCCAGATTTGAATTCAGCACCAACAAATCTACAGGGAACGATGTGTAAAAATATTCAAAATTTGTCGAACGTGTAATCAATCGAAATATGTAGATTCAAATAATTATAATACAAAAATATAAATCTAATAATTGAATAAATATAATTACAATTAGAAAAGAAAAAATAAATACTTAATTTATTTACCTGCGTACTAGCATTTTCAACGCGAACAAGAGCGTGGATTTGCAACATTAGCTTTTTATCAATCATGCTTGCGTTTTAGTGCATTTAAATTTGTAAATTCAGTGCTGCCACAGGTTTAAATATTTCAAATTATTTCATGTTTAAATCTATTAGAAATTTGAGTTCAGAAACAGCCAATAAAAAGGCACTAGGCACTACCATTTCCTAGGCGTTTTAATTTTCAAAAAGCACTAAATCTAGTGCTTAAAGGATGGGTTGGCAACTATGTAGAAACGAAACAATTAAGCACAGGATGTGCTGGGTACATTAAAATCAATCTATTGGTTATCCTTGTTCTACAATAACTAGCTGATGACAAAGTTAACTACTAAAAAAACTAAACAATTTTTTTACACACCAATAATACACCACTGCTTACAGAAATGAAGTATAAATAGTTAAATAATCAAGGAAAGTCGATTGTTTATAAATTTTAATAAGTTGCACATGCTGTATCGTTCCATTCGTTATAAAATAACCATTTTCTGGCAACGTTTGCCAAAAGACTGCCATATCAAACAATAATGAACCCATTGCATTTCGCCGACGCGACATTTTGCATTTTGTTTTAAAAATCAGTTTATTAATCTGATTTGCATTTTAATTTTTAAACGTTTTGTTATGTTAAGTAGTGTACAAAAACGTGTGTATGTATATGCCTTCTCTATATTGAGAAGCTCCCTAATGAAGGCGCACTCGTATCTATCTGGCACCTTTGGTTAGAATTACATAAAAAGAGGAGCTGTGGGGCCATGTTCTCTCAGTCATTTTTAGTTATTTGGCTCCAGCGAATTCGCGTCTCGTGTATAACCGTGAAATTATCTTTCGGCTTTAAATGTGTCTGCGAATGTGAAATTTAACCAAGTTTTATTACGCAAATACCGTAAAAACTTTCCAAAGATGTTTAAACATAAACAGGATAGAAGTAAACTCTGATATTCGGCCCATAACTGGTCGTAGCTTCATTGTTGGTTGAAGGCGAACCTACCCCTCGTGCTTAGCTGATTATTTCGATACTTAATTTTTTGGCGGAAGCGGAAAAATCCCTATTCCACACAGATCAATGTGCGAATTCATCAAGTTCAACAGAGAATAGGGAACAACAACATCTATTAGCAAACGTCAACGTATATATGTATCATCTTTAAAACCATCCGAATATAATCAAAGCACGCGTCAAGGAAAGGCAAAATTGAGACCACCAGCATTGCCCTTGGTTCAACTAAGTTAATCAAGAAACCTATAAGTGTGCGCTGTAAATAGCACAGCGAATTTGACTGGCGAATCAATCAGCTGTGACAGTCGAAGTAAAAGTGCGGCAGTGTGTTGAGTGACTCAATCTTCCTGCAATCAAGCAAAAAATGGAGCAAAAGGATGCCACAACGGAAAATGCCAATGGCAAACAGCTGCAAATGCAGCAATCCAAACCAGAGCAACGGGACACTGAAAAGAAAACTGAAGAACAAAAACCACAACAGCCAGAACGGACATCACCAAAGCTAAATTCTCGAGCTGGCTTAAAATTAGCCAAAACAAATGGCGGCACCAAAAAACGTGTATACAAAGTGGTGCTAACAGGCGGTAGGTACAGCTGCAGCTAAGCGTGATTTACACGCTTTATTTAGTTAAGTATGTTGATAAAAAGATAGGAGATGCATT